TTAGCCAGCCAAGCAAACACCTGAGAACTCCATAAGTCCTAACTTTGCCTTGGTGTACTTTGGTTCCCGAACTTGCCAGAAGCCTCTCCCTGCAGCATCCAGCCCCTGTCATGCGACGCTCACAGAAATGACCAAGCTTGCTGTCTCCAAAGAGACGGAACACACCCCAGCCTGTTGGCTCAGCTGGGGACACTTTCCTCCCTCTCATATAACAGCCCGGTGATGAATTTCTCATAAAAACAAGAATGAGTTTATTACTAAAGAACAGAGATGGAAGTGACACGAAGCAGCGATGATAGCAACAGAAAATGGTTACAAACAAAACAAAAGTATAATCACGGTTCCTCGTGACTAAAACTTAGCTCTAGAGGCTTATCCTTGACTAAGATAAGCAACCTTTCAGTGTCACTCACCCAACATGGCTGGGGATCCACCCTCCACCACAGAACACAAAGGGTGCTGACTTCTTTGTCCCCTCAGCGATGGATAAGGCTATGTTTATGTCACGGAGGTCATGGAAGTCACGGAAGATAGTGTCCTTTGTGTTGGTTACACAATACTTGATTCATAACAGACACCAAGGCAGACCAGTAACATTCCTTTGTCTGGGGAAGACTTGTTTATCCACCCTGCTTGGTTACATGGTTGTAAACACTTTTTTAGTCTACACATACAACTTTTTAATTAACTGCCATACAGACATCATGCAATGCCAGTGATGACCTGTGTGACATAAGTTTTCATCTGATAGCTTACGAGACTTCTTTATAGATAAATATCATGAGAGTAATGTGTTAGGTGTAGTGAGTTTGTCAGGCCTGATGGGAGTTGCTGTTACATGGCAATGAACCCTTTGCCAGTGGGCACTGAGGGGCTCATGGGGTCACAGAGGTGACTCTATTTGTCTTTGTGTCATTGCTTATCAAACGGTGGGTAGTCAGTGTGGTTAACTCCAGTCTCTCAAGGTTACTTGAAGGCATGTGCTGGACCAAATAAAATGGGTTGCGTTTGCTTTTTCCTGTGAATACGTTGTGCAGGCTACACCCTTATTTATCCCAGATAGCTGGCACAGCAACAAAACATACTGCCATGGCAACAGTGCTCAGTTACTGTAATTACTTCCATGCCATCCTGTGCAGCTTGTGTTGAAAAGAACAGCACATCCATTCACTGGACAGAGCATGATTGCACCACAGCCACCTTGCATTCTCTATGTCAGCTGCATACAAAGCACCAGACTGAGATCAATGTTGCCCCTGCTGGTTTTTAAACACTTTAGGATATAGGATCTGTTTGTATTCTAGACTGTCCCCTTCAGACTTGTCCTGGTGGGTATTTGCACTCTCACCCCAGCTACATTTAGGGATTCTCCATGCACTATGGCTTAGACTGGCAGATGATTGAGCTGCAAGTGTGTGTGTGCACATGTGTAGAACTCACTGCCCTTCTCAGTCCATCCTGCCACACTTTTAAGTAATCACTGAAAATGTCTCTGTGTCCAAGGGGTTTTAGTATGATCACTGAGGGCCCTGTTAGGTAGAACTTTCCCATTTCCTCTCTTCCTGGAAGTCCTCCCTCCATTTGTTTATGTGACTTTTATTGTTTTAGAACAAGTAGTAAATATTGTACAGAATCCTGAGCACCTCACGGGTGGGGCACTTTATACATACAACTATTAAGATATTTAGAGACAGGCCTTCCCCAGCACTCCAAATCCAAACACTCCTGACCTTTGGGGGCATTCAAAGCCCAGACACAGACCTAGATCAAAAGGACCTCTCTCTAAAGTGGGCTGTATTAGAAAGCCAGATCCAAACTGTATGGCTCAGACCATCTCTAATAATGTTGTTATTCAGCTCCATGTTATCTATCTAGCTAATCACAGAAAAAAGAATGACTGGCTAGCTCAGGATTTAGCAGTGTTTCACGGTGACTTTCCTCTCAACTACAAGTGGTTGGGCTTGGATGCAGGAGCCGCGGACAGAGCTGGATGGAGGCAGAGACACCACACGTCCTTCTGTAGGCCACCCACCACTTGGAGTCATGTGATTTCATCTGTATCTCAGCTTTGATTATTTTTTTTAGTAAGTTTCTAGTCCTCATGGTTGTGAAGAAGACATTGAAAAGCCTAAGCATAACCTATATAGTGACATCTGCTTGAGTCTGCCAACAGCCTGAACCAGTAGCTTTGAGAAGGGTGAACTTCCCTGTGCTTCTCACTAGAGTGGGAACTCCAACACCCAGCACGCTGGCATGGCTCCACAACAGCCACCCCAGCAGATACACCTTGGCTGCAGAGTAAATAAAGGGACCCACTTGCTGCCATCCCTGCCCATCCGCTGGGGAAAAGGGACCCCTGTTGTTGTCCCTGCTGCACCCAAGGGAAGAAGAGCCCCTTGCTGACTTCCTTGGTGGAAGAAGAGGGATCATGCTGCTATTCTTGCCTCTCTTAAAAAGAGAAGGGGGGTAGGAGGTTCTCTTGCCACTGCTACTCCAGTTGGGGACTCCACAGGAGACCCTCTGTCATGGTGTCCCTATGGCCCTGGATTGCCCTAATTCAGCCCTGGACTCAGGGTGAAAGGCTACAGCCTGTGTTATGCAGGAGGTCAGATTAGATGTCCATGGTTGTCCCTGTGGTGCACAACAGAGAGAATCCTGTTGCCAACTACCTACTACTTGTGAGCTCTAAGGCCATGCACACAGGAAGCAGCAAAATGGAAGCAGTAGCTGTAAAGGCTGCTGGGAGCCCACCAGCACTAGGACATGTTCATGCAAGGAGAGTCATCCATCAGAAGCAATGGCAATAGCCATGGCAATGTCGGCAGCCTGGCACTAACTTCAGTGGAGCTTCGCCAGGGGCCAATGCTTTTTTTAATACCAACAGCATTCATTTGCATGCTCTGAGCAGGCTGATCGTATGGTACTAGACTACTTGTGCTTTTGTCTAGCTCCTCACAGGTTGGTGTGTTGGAAAACCTATTTTCTCTGGGAATCGCTTAGGGGCAAAACGCCTTGTAAAATGGCAATGCTCTTTTGGGGAGGAACTGTCCCTTACTAGGTATTTGCACGTGCCTAGTCCAATGTTCTGAGCTGGGGCCGATGCATCCTTCTCCTGGCCACAGACCATTACAAACCTTCACAACAAAGAGGTCTCGGCCCCATTGGAGTAAATCGCTGCTATGTCTAAGGTGTGACGTAAGGGCTTTTCAGCTCGGTTTCTGCACGGTGCTTGTTCAGAAGCAAAGTTAATGTGCAATTCACTTTTTAAAAAATGAGTTTCATCCTCTTGCCTCTACCAATGGTCTCCCTCCAAGTCAGGGTCGAGACCATGTTAAAGAGACCAGCATGGAGAGGCTTGCCCAGCTTCTGCCTGTGCTGTACCTGTTCTACGTGAAAAACGAGGACTTCGCCGTTAAGAGCTGTCATCAAGCTGACATCTTTCATGAGCTTTCCTTTGGAATATAAATCATTGCAAAGAGGAAGTGTAAGGAGGGGTAGAGGACTTCTGGAGGATCTATCTGGTAGACATCAGAGTAGGAAGCTGATGAGAGGTGAAGGTGTCTGCACCTGAAAAAAACAAAAATCCCCCAAAATTAAATTAAAATGAGGGTGGCTGTAGGCCGTGGTCAGATAGGTGCTGCCATGGGCTCAACATGCCAAAAGGGTGCTGTGGCTCTGGGAGGAGATCCACTGCAAGAAAACTGGATGTGGCCAGAAGACCTTCATGCTTGAGGAGCCCATCTCCTGCAGTGTGAGCTCCAAAAGGAGGCTGGATGGCCAATAAAAGGAAGGTGCACCATCTGAAGCACCTAGGGAAAAGGCAAAGGAAATGGCAAGGCTGGGGCAGAGGAACTGGGAAGCTACCCAAGGGAGGAATCACAGAATTGTAGGACTGGAAAGGGATCTTGAGACGTCTTCTAGTCCAGTCCACTGCATTCAAGGCAGGACTAAATATTATCTAAACCATCCCTGATGGGTATTTGTCTAACCTGCTCTTAAAAATCTTCAATGATGGAGATTCTACAACCTCCCTAGGCAATTTATTTCAGTGCTTAATTACCCTGACAGTTTGGAAGTTTTCTTAATGTCCGACCCAAACTGACCTTGCTGCAATTTAAGCCCATTGCTGCCATTTAAGCCCATTGCTTCTTGTCCTATTATCAGAGGTTAACGAGAACAAATTTTCTCCCTCCTCCTTGTAACAATCTTTTATGTGCTTGAAAACTGTTATCAGGTCCCTCCTCAGTCTTCTCTTCTCCAGACTAAACAAACCCAGTTTTTTCAATCTTCCCTCATAGGTCGTGTTTTCTAGACCTTTAATAATTTTTGTTGCTCTTCTCTGGACTTTCTCCAATTTGTCCACATCTTTCCTGAAATGTGGCACCCAGAACTGGACACAATACTCCAGTTGAGGTCTTATCAGCACGGAGTAGAGTGGAAGAATTATTTCTCATGTCTTGCTTACAACTCTCCTGCTAATACACCCCAAAATGATGTTTGAAAAGAGTAAGAGCTGGAAGGATTGGGGGGGGAAGGGGGGGTGTGGGGAGAGGGAAGGTACTTATAGTCGTGAATTGAGGAGGGAAGGAAGGAAAGTAGAAAATTCTACTCTTCGGGTGACAGTACACCAGCTGTGCAGAAAAGGTCTTTTACTGTGTCTCTATGCAGTATTCAGCACATCACGCTGAAGTTATTCAAGGGGCCTTTTTTTCATTTTTTAAAAAACACATCTTGACCCTTTGCCTATAATGTGGAATCATGGATCAATACAGAACAAGTGATGTCAATTTATAATCTTAAAAACCTTCATGGTGTTCTTTTAAACTTTATGGTATTACAGTAGTTACAAACTCAAAGGGTGTGGTACACTGTTAGCCACTAAGATTACGTTAGTTTTCAGCCAATATTTAACTTTCCAGTAAGATTAGATTTAACGTTTCATTTACTATAAACATAGAATCTAGAGTACAATGTGGTTATTTCACTGTCCAGTATATAGCTTAGTCCAAGCTGCCAGTTTCTTGAAACTGAAGATTTTTCTCTTCCCTTCAAGATTATTGTAACATTAGCAAGTGAAGTTTTAAAATCTCAATTGTTGCTGTGAATTTCATTACACGAAGGCACAGAAGAGGTAAGTTTCTTTTATAATTCTTCATTTCCAATAGAAAAATCTTTTCCACAGGAAGTCATAAATAATAAACAAAATGGAATGTTCATGACAATTTTTAATTGTACTTATTTTCACAGAAAATTAATTAGGTCACCTTAATCTTACACAGTTGTGTGAATATGTGTGTTCACACACACACACACACACACGTGTGCGCACACACACACCCATTCAAGGAAAAGATATGTGATAGTAGTAGGCCATTTAATTGAGCAGATGAAGACTTAACAAGATCCAGTGGCTGGACGATGAAGTTAGAAGAATTCAAATTGGAAATAGGATGAAAATTCTGATCAAAGAGGATAATTCCTCATTGCAGCAGCTTACCAAGGGATGTGGTAAATTCAGCATCACTTTAAGTCTTTACATTGAGATTGAATTGGATACTCTAGCTCAACCACAACTCATTGGGCTTGATAGTTTTTATGCATGCAGTAGCAAAGAATAATATCCACTGAAGGAATTACTGGTTGAAATTCAAAGGCCTGTGTTATGCAGGAGGTCAGACTAGATTATCATAGTGGGCCTGCCCTTCATGTCTTAAATATCTGTGAAGTTGTGATCCAATCACAGCTTTTTATTTTAAACAAGAAAAAAAAACACCCTAGGAAATAAACATTTTGTTTGAGCTTTTAGACAAAGAAAATCTAAAGTTACAATTCCCACCGCAATCATGATACACCACAATGCGCAGAGAGAAATGCAGTAACGTGGCATATTGTGCAGTAGCATCAAATATTACATATACAACTATGGGCATATCCTACCCCTGGCTAGAGGGGGACCTCTGGCCGTGGAACTGGTGTGGTTCCAGTATGTAACAAGGGCAAAATTTGGAGGGGGTGGTGTAGGGGGCTGTATTTCCAATGAGATGTTCCAGCAGCAAGAATGGGACAGGTAGGGGTACATATTCTGGGTTGGGACTACAGAATCTGCTACTTCACGCTCTTCCCATTCTCCCCCCACCCCACCTGGGGGTGCAAAGGCCACAGCGGGTACTGCAGGCACTGTGCATCAGTAGTCTCTGGGTAATAGCTCTGCAGCAACACCTGCCTGAAGAGCAGGATTCCTTCCTCCTGTCCCTCACTCTGCCTGGCACTCAGCTAGCACTTTGGCCGGGTGGGGGGAGGGGGGGGCGCTACATATTTGGATATTATGCTCTTACAAATGCATTTGTGTGTGTTGCGAATGGGTATGCCAGATTTTCATTTGTTTAGATGAAACAAGAAATGGGTGGCTGAACTCTGTGTCGATATACCTTGTGTAGCCCCATTGATTTGAATGGCACTGTCCTGGCTGCTAGTCAATGCAGAATTTGACCATTCCTACTGAGCCAAATCCTAACGGTCTTACTCAGCTTTTACTGAGTCCTAACTTAGACAACGCTCTTCAATTTGTCAGAGTACAGACTGAAACAGAACTTAACTAAAAATTGAGTAAAGACCCACTTGATCCCCTAAACACATGGTAAAATGCAGACACTTGGGACCAGATCCTCAGCTGGTCTAAACTGGCACTAAATTTTATGCTAACTGAGGGAATTGACCCTGCAGTTGTTATAGTACAGAATTAAAAATATCTATATATTTGTTTTCAATGGCAGTGCACTGGAAATATGGTGGATTTACGAAACTTCACCCAGATATTGGAAGATGTTTTCAAAAACACATTTCTTAACTACATGAATAACTGGCGCCGGAACATGACAGAGGAACAAGATGCGCTGCAAGCGACAGTTGATGCAGAAAACTTTGATTACGTTATCTTGTACCTCATTGTAATGATTGGAATGTTCTCCTTCATTATTGTGGCTATCCTTGTGAGCACGGTGAAGTCAAAGAGGAGAGAGCACTCTAATGACCCGTATCACCAGTACATTGTTGATGATTGGGGTGAAAAATATAAGAGCCAGATTCTGAATCAAGACGACTTGAAGTGTACAATCCATGAAAACATCAGTGTAAGGGAGAAAACAACCCCTAGATTGCCTTGATTTCTTGGAGATCAAGGCAAACAAACCATAAAGCCATGTACGTAATGTACTGTTTTCACTAGGATTCTGAATTGCCATCACATTGTCTGATAAATAGCCAGAGATGTCTAGGTATAGATCGTTCCAGAGAAATTAAATCTACTCCTTCACTGTGAGATTTTTGGGTGAGGCTACTTAGTCGGCCATCCGAGAAAGAGAAGTATTCATACTCTAGTTTGATTTTCTATTCTGCTTGACACTAGAGAGGCATGAAAACACCTAACAAAAATTGCCCCCAAACTATGGGCAGATTTAAAATCTGGATGTGGATCTGACTCTGAATATCCCAAATCGAAATAATGGACAAAACCAAATCCCCAGATCTGAAGACATGGGAACTTCAAGGTGCTCAAAATCCGGATCATGATCCAAACAGGGTAGCTGGAGCTCATCTCTTACAATATAATAAAATCTTGTAAAATAAATTTACACGTAAACTGTCTGAACAATATTGAATGGTGCTAGCCATAGGAGATAACCTAACCCTCCATCCATTCAGCATGAATAACATTGATTTTACAATGCAAATTCCCATTAGCTCTCCATTTGATATTCTTCCATATCCAAGACAAACATTTAAAATACAATACCTCAAAGAGTCCAGTTTTAATGCTACAGAACTCCAACCTCATCCTTTAAGCACCTGCGGGTTATCTGCACTGGGCACCACCCACCTTCCGGGGTTGCACCTTTGTGCCTGAAGTCTTTGGAGAACCAAATCTTTCTCATAAAGCCTGGTGCTCTCTAAAATGTATAACACATTCTTCCTTAGTTAGTTGTCTTAGTTAATCCCTCCTCTTTTTTATTGTCCAGTGGAGAAGGCTGGGAGATGGGAGACCTGCGTTATACCCACTTTTCAATGTTGTATGTGGCAGTCAGGACCCTGAGAACAAGTGAGGTCATGTGTGTGTGTGTGTGCGTGTGTTCACACATGGAGTGGTGTAAGGATCCCAAGCATCGGACCGTACTCCTGCCAGAGACACAGGCAGGGGTGGAAGTAACTGAGGCCACTTACCGGTACGGGGTGGCTCTGGCCCCCGGAAGGGGTGGGGCCTCGGGTGGAAGGGCCGGGGCTGGGCGGGGTTAGCATCCCCCAGCCAACCCTTCCAGTCCGGCTGGCCCGCACCGCCCAGGGCTCCCGTGTTGATTTAAAGGGCCCAGGGCTCCAGACGCCCACTGCGGCGTCCGGAGCCCCAGGCCCTTTTAAATCGCTGGCCCTAGGGCAGCTACTCCCTTTGCCCCCCCCGCCCCCCCCGTCCGTCCGTCGGCGGCCAAAAGGGGCAGCAACATTCAAGCACTGCAAGGTCCTTTGCCACGGCAGTGCTTTAACATTGCTGCCCTTTCCCAGCCCCCACCCCCGGTGGCCCTGCCGGTACGGACCCTACCAGCAGGGCCGCCGACAGGGGAAGCAAAAGGGGCAGGGACATTAAAGGGCTGCTGCGGCAATGCTTTACTGTGGGCTGGGTATGGGCTGCTGCGGGTTCTTACCGGTACGCAGTACCGGCCTCTACCAGCTCACTTTCACCCCTGCACACAGGTGCACTTTTTAGGTTTTCTTCCTGCATGGGAGGGGATAGGTGGGTGGGTTTCTGCTCAATGTGAACAGGTTTCTCGAGGCAGAGACTACGTCTTCTCCTATGTGCTGGTGCTCAAACAATAACTATAGGTTATTATTGAGCTAATGGAATAACTGGTAGCACTAATAGAGTGTTACATTCTGTAACATTAGCACCATCTATCATTAAGGCACATAGGAAAAGGGGGTGGGAGCTGGGTGCAGATGGATAGGAGCAGACAGGGAGGAGGCAAGAGCTGAAATGGGGACCAGGAGCAATGGGGTGAACAGGAGAAGGGCAGGAACTGGGTGGGGGGGGTGGATCGGAGCAATGAGAGAGGGAGATACGGTGGTGTTGGGATGGATAGGAGCAGAGAGGGACAGAAACAGGCTGAGGGCACAGGCGCATATCTGGGTTTGTAATCACTATAACGCATTGCCCTCCAGAGCTTGGAATAGAACCCAGGAGTCCAGAGTCTCTACATTTCTCTGCCATCAGCAAACAGCTATCCTGCTAATGGCTGGACCGCACAGAATGTAACACTCTATTAGTGCTACCAGTTATTCCATTAGCTCAAGTGGTCGAGGTCTCTTGTGTGGATCTAAAAGTCCCAACCCTGCTGATGAGTGATGTGAGAGTCAATATGATTCTACCATGATGGGATTTCTGGTTCCTCAATTTGTTTTATAAAAAAAATAGGAAAATACATTAAAAATAGTACATGAAACGAATGTGAAGGCTGCAAAGTCAAGCACCCAGAAGTTAGGAAATACCAGAATTCAGATTGCCTGAGCAACATTAATTCAGCTCCAAGTGTGTATGTGTTATGATACAGTCTTTAATTACATAATCACAAACTATTTTTTCCACATGACCCCTACTTCATTCAGTGCACAGAATGGACCTGTTCTGGGATGAATTAGGGTTGTGTAGTGGGTGAGGCTGTTGTGTGCAGCAGGGCCTGCCCCTCATGCTGGGCTACTTAAACCAAACTTTTCACAAGTGGGCATTAAATGTGTGTTCCTCATTTTTGGCTGCCAGGCTTGAAACCCTGAGGACAGATGTGCAGAAGTGCAGAATGCTACAGCTCCACCTGAAGTCAATGGGAGCTCTGCTTTGAATATATAAAGTGCTACAGAATGCTAAGTACTTTGAAAACTCAGTCCCTACATGTCTCAAGTTAGGCATCCAAACTTAATTAGTTTCAGCACCTACAGGTCTTCCCTTTGCAAGTTTGTTACTCATGGGATTCAGTGACAAAACAGCCTTCTGAAAACTACACAAGAACGCATTTAGTAGGAACAATGCATTTAGAGAAAAAAGGATTTTAAAACAACAGTTTTCATGCGTCTGTCTGTTCTAAAATTTTACACTGTCCTGATGGTGAACTAGTCAGACCTAACTTCTTTGGACACCCCAGCGGGTGCCTGCACAATTCCCCCATCTCTTGACCCTTTAAAAACATTTATGGTCCTCTTTATCTCCTGTGTTTCATGGCTTTGGCCCTGCTCAGTTTTGTAAGTTGGTACCAGGAGGTAGAACCTTCACAGCTGATAGTTTAGGCATTATCTCTTAACAACATCTATGTGGCGGGGTGACCACTGTTTCCCTGCCTGCTTGTTTTTCCTGGCAGCCCTGTTCATCCAGGATAGTCATATAGTAAACATCTCAATAACCAAGCCAACATACAGTATTCATAAATTACTACAGAGCAGTTCCAAATTCATCATAATAACATATATCCCAAGATGTAATACCTCAGGGAAGTGCAGGCCATGGGCAAGACACCATTTAAGTCACTCTGAAACATGATTTTTAATGGAATGGATCCTTTATTTCATAAAAGGTTTCAGTGCTGAACATAATATGGTCATAGTGAGGGACTTAGGCTCAGATCCTCAATGACATTTAGCTAAATACACTTGAGAATGTGGGCTTTAAAATGCTCCCTGTGCAGCCTCCTCTAAATAAATTATGCAGCCTGAAGCTTTACCAGGATTTTCCTGGCAACAAACACTGGATCAATACATCCCACCATGTTAGTAATATCATGTAAAAAAATTTTCCGTGATTTCTAAAGGGCTAGATTCTGACCTAGACCACACACCTGGGCAGGAGGGTCAGAACCCTCTTTGCTATCTGAGTTATAGGCTACCTGGGCATTGGGTGTGGGTGGCCAGGGATGTGGGGCACTGCATGCCTGTTTCTTTTTCCCCACCCCAAGTAGGTGGTGAGAAGTGAGAGGAGCTGAGGCACCAGGTTGGGGATAATAATTTACGGCTGGTAAAAGCTAGAAGCAAATGACTACGCTTTGGAGCAAGGAGGGGATTGAGGCTCCCAGCACCACAGTTCATTCTCTGCATGACTCCTGAGGTGCTGCAGCAACAGGTCCCCCTTACTATGGCCTGTGACACTAAGACACAAAATAGTCAGGACCAAATTCTGCTCAGGCACACCAGTGTAAGACCACAGTAACTTCATGTACTTCACTGATTTACATAGGTGAGACTGTGAGCAGAATTTGTCCCTAAACTTTTGCCAGGGCTTTGGTCTGTGAGCTGAGCATGGTTTCATTGCACACACATGGAAAAGGATAACCACAGGACATGAAAATCTCTTGAGAAATTCACAGTTTAGGCATTAATTTTTCCATCACTAGAAAGTCCTGTTCTATTTCTATCCAGGTTACTTTGCTTAAGGCCTTCTGTTTCCATTTAGCTGCCATTTTACAGTGAGCAGCTATGTGTGTTTGGAATAACAAAAATACATCAGAGTCCAGCAGGGGTGAACTAGAAAGACAATACTTGTGCTATTCAAGGAATGCTGTCAGGTCGAAAATCATGTATTGAAAATAATAATAATATATAAATATAAATAAGACATAATATGTCATGTAGGGCTACATGGCAAACCAATACCATTTGCTATTCAAACCGAAGGAGTGTTGCAGTTTTTTTTCATGTAATTCATTTAGGTTGGACATTGAAACTATAGAGATTATCTGCCTTGCATGGACTCTTCAAACATGGAGGGACAAATGCACTATCTGGGTGACATCCTCAGCTACTGTAAGGTGACTTTAGCTTTATTGCTCCTCAGCTGTATTGACTTCACTGGAGTTGTGCCGATTTACACTTGCTAAGCATCTGGCCCGCATTTACTTAAACCAATAACATGTATAAAATTGTATCAGAGCAATTCTTTGAAAACATTCTTTAAAAAGAAGCAAACTGCCCACATTTCCTGGTTTCCTGTGTTCCTTGTCATGGTATCTTAGGACCTTGTTAGAAAAGAAAACAGGCAGTGCATAATTGGGTGACTCTCTCTGGCTCCCATTAGCCCAAGGCTAGGAGAGATGATCGAGCAGCTGGAACACTAGACTAGGATTCAGAAAACTTGGTTCTGTTCCCTGCTCACCCACAGTCTTCTTTTGTGAGCTTGGGCAAATTAATCTGTTCTATGCTTCAGTTCCCCACGTATAAAGTGGGAATAGCACTTCCCTACCTTGGAGCGGTGTTTGTAAGGATGATGTCTGTTAATGAGTAAGAGGTCCTCAGACATAAAAGTGGTGGGGACCATAGAAGTATCTAGATCACTATTTGGGGGTGGGGGAGAGGGGTGCCTTGTCTTGTGTTTCAGGGACAGATAAGGTGATGAGATGGGTATAGCACTTCAACCTGAACTACCAGGTACAGGTTAGTTCCAAAGCAGATCTTAGTTAAGATTGTCTGCAGCTAATGGTCAAACTGCCATAGTGTATAGGGTTTAAAGGTCAGCTAGCACAGATTCGTGTCAAAAGCATGTATCTACCTTACACAGACGGTGCCTAGGCACCTATGAATGTGGGATGTTGTGGGTACTTTAACTCTGGATTTCTTCTTTTCAACACCTGTAGAACAAGCTGTCCACGTGTTCTACCAGGTGTCATTCTAAAAGGAAAAATTCCACATCATCACTGTTAATAATATACATGGTGTTAAGTGTGCCAAAACGTGCACTGTGCACGTTTGTTTTATGGAGGTATAGCAGAAAAAAGGGTTAACAGCTAGATATCACTGTGGTATGCTGGGAGCTGTAGTTTGCCAGCTGTAAGACTTCTGGTATTTGTAGTTTGTTTCCACTTCCCCTCTGTGTGTAATGGTTGCCTGCTGCAAGGTACTGTATCCGTTTGTTCTCTTTGGGGAGGTCTTATTTTTAAAATGAATCCGTGATCTAGGGGTATCTGTAAGAGCTAGACTTTCAGCACAAAATGCAAACTTTAAACAAAGTGAGTTTCAGATAAAGTTGCGTTTCTGGGCCTGATTCCCTGTTGGTTTGCATCTTGTGTTGGCATTGCTTTCAGTTCAGAATAGAAACACCTTACATGCATGTGCAAGGCAGTTCAAAATTAGGCTCTCTGTCTTTTTCTGGGCTATGTCCATTTCCCCAATCCATCTCAGCAACTTTATTGGACGCTTGTTGGACATTTTGAGCCCCACATTTTGTAAGGAACCCCACCCCCGCTCATTAAGGTGGTTTGATATGATTTTCAAATTCAGTAAAAACATATTTGACTGCATGTGAGCATCCCCTGGAGTACTGGAACCCAAGCACTGATGCAGAGCTTTTGGGTATGAGAACCTGAAAATAAAATTGGCACTGGGCTGGTCGATTTCACTTATGTTTAGTTTCTCTGTCTCAGCTGAGTGAAGTAAATGAATAGCAGAAAGAGAGTGAAAATTACTGTGTTGAAAAAATTATTTCCGTTTCCTGAGCTGTGTGTGCAGTTCAGGTACAGTGTAGGTGACAGCTGGGAGAGGACTTCCATTGGGAAGTGACTTGTTTGGGGGTGAAGAGTTGGGGGCAGGGGGGAGCAGAGGTAGCAGGGCCCAAGTAACAATGACAGGGGAAAGCAGCACAATCAAGCAGTGGATGGGTAGGGGACAAGCACTGGGGCGTGGTGGGTAGCTGGCAGCAGGAAAGCCAGGCAGGGTGCCGAGGGGTGCCAGCAAGTGGGAAGGAATGGATATTGGGGGGTGATAAGAGGGAGGCATGCAGGTAGAAGAAGCAGCAGCAGCAGCAGGTGGTTGGCTGGTAGTGAGTGCAGTGGTGGTGGTGGCATCTCAGAAACCCCTCTGATCTAAAAGCAGTCTGGCATGTGACTAAAGTGCTGTGCTTGGACCTGGGGGTTAACAATCTGAGGTGCTGCAGGCATTTGTAATATGATTTTAAATCTGACACTGTCCCTTTAAATTTCCCTTTGCTCCATGTTTAATTTCCAGAGTATGGAGTATGTGAGGCTCTGTTGGAGGGGCTGTTAATACATCTGCTCTCTACAACTCCAGGTATGAAGAACTCAGTGGTATTGTATATTTTTGTTATTCCTTTAACGCACTGCTCTCAGCTACACTGGTTTGAACCCAGAGTAACTTCGCTGGCCTCAATTGAGCAACTTTTGACTTATGCCAGCATAGCCTATAATAGAATCTGGGCCACTATGTTTGAGCTATAAAAGTATCTGGATCCGCCTGGCCCTGAATGATTTCATCCTGTATCACATGTGCTGTTGGGTTTTGAAGAATTGTGGGAGTGGCAGTCCAGGATCAGATTCTCTTCTGCCGTGTCACACACCAGCTTTTGGTCTGGCTTTGTAGAGCCACGCTGGGGTATCTTGGTCCCATTCTCAGAGAGCCCAGCCTGACACACAGTGTAGCATCAGCAAGTGAAGCCCTGTGATTGTTTCTCTGCGTAATGGCATGCTGTAACATGTATCGATGGTCTCTTTAAATATATGAACGAGGGGAAGCCAGTGAGATCAGCAAGATGGGGAGAGATGGTCGGCAGAAGAAAACGTGGTTTCTGTCCAAATGGAAGGAGGATACACATTCTTTTAGCGCAGGTTAGAGTCTGCCATCACCTTCCAGTAGGTGCAATCAAATAAATTCTATTTTGCCCTTGTATGCTGCCTTTCGTCTCATAGCGCTTTATACACGTTAATTAAGGCTCACAACACCCCTGCCAGGTAGAACAGTATTATGAGCCCCGTTTCACTGCTTGGTAAACAAAGGTATCAGTAGGCCACAGGAGTTTTCCAGCCAACATCGCATAAGAGGCCTCATTCCCCACTACCTTGCACTGTGTCTAGTCACTTACAGGTATGCACAGCTGATGCAAGACTGAGTGAGTGGAGGATTATGGTTTGGGAGCAGGGGTAGAGAGGAAGGATGATCCAGTGGTTAAAACAGCAGCCTAGGCCTTGAGAGTCCTGGGTTCACTTCCCTGCTCTCTACTTTGAGTCATTGTGCCTCAGTTTCCCCATCCATAAAATCAGGATAATGGCACTGCTCTGCCTTACAGAGGTGTTGTGAGGATAAACATGTTAAAGATTGTGAGGTGCTACTATGGTGGTGGTCATTTTACTCACATTTGCGCGGGCTAGATGACTATACGATGTGCAAGTCAGTGGTGAATTGAGCCCTGGAAGTCTGTGCCTATGCTCAGAGTAGAGCTCAGGTCACCTGTCACTCAGTCGCTCACGTGACTTAACCGCAAGATCTCCTTGGAAGTTGTGACGGCGAGTGAAGGTGACCTCCTTTGCACTGAGCTGGGTCTCCTTTCCATTACCCTTGTATTTATTAAGAGAATATATATTTTCAGGGGAACAAATAACAGCCGAGTGTAGATGTTTTTAAACTCCTATCTTTGCCTTATCTGCCTTTGAAAAAGCAAACATTAAACTTCGGATTGTTTATTTGCCTGCCTCCCTTTAAGATAGCATAACCTTGAGAGTACAATGTGTGAGCTTTTTTGTTTTTAAACCAGTGATGTCAATGCTAATAAATGTTTCTATTAAACTATGAAGAATCAATCCTGCCTTTCATACATACACATCCAGGCTTTTTTCTTCTGCCAAGATTTACCAGGCCTGGGTCAAGATGAGGAAGCAGGAGAACCAAGAGGTCTAAAGCAGGATTAAGTGGGGCTACTGGATGTTGGGGACATCAAAGCGTGGGTATGCAACACTGATATATAAAGGTGGCTTCCAAGCCAGTTCACAACAGTGAATAAAGCTGATACTGTAAGTAGGAGAGATGGCAGGAGGTAGGAGCTCTCACCGAGAGTTCTGATTCTTAATTAAAATCCCACAGTACACAAAAAAGGGCCTGATTTCATTCCCACTTACCCTATTTGTGACTTCAGTGGAGTCACTCCTGATTTACACCAGTGTGTGGAGAATCAGGCCTACATCTCTATAGACTTTATGCATTACAAAAGTATTATGTGGCATAATTTGATAATTCACCAATCTCCTCCCCCTCCAACCGCCATCCCCCCCGAAACACCAAAAGAAAAACTAATTCCCTCAATAGCCAGCGATAACCAAATCTTTGCTTCCTGATTGACTCATTAGAGGTGACTACAGGTTTTGAACCTCTAAACACATCCCTTCTTCAGAGTATTTTTTCAGGAACATTCTAAAATTGAGCTGTTATACTTAAAGCAATTCATGGTCATGATGGAGATCTGTCTGATTTAAAAGGATTCTGGCCAACACTTTCAGAGCTGGATACCTCCCTGTAGGCGCCTCAATCCTATAGGTACCTAAAAATTGAGTCACCCAGGTTTGAATCCAAACCATGTATTGAGAATTCTGCTCCCACAACTGATTTCAGTGTCAAGACCTACTATCCCAAGGGATAAAGATCCCAAGAGCTGATAAATCTCATGGTCATTACAATTTTGAAGTAAATATCTGCTTAATATTCCTTTTTGCAGGAAGTAAACCACTAGTGGCTTGTTAGATCACACATGCTATAATGCTTTGGCAAAAGTAGAAGTTATGAAGAGAATGCCACAAATGTCAGTTCCCATAAGGCTTATAGATAGTCACAGACAGGCTAGTCCATTCAGTGCCCAAGGAATGAGTACTTCTCTATGATTGAAGACGCTATGAGAAGAAAGGTTTCAGAGTAGCAGCCGTGTTAATCTGTATCCGCAAAATAAAAGGAGGACTTGTGGCACCTGAGAGACTAACAAATTTATTTGAGCATAAGCTTTCGTGAGCTACAGCCCACTTCATCGGATGTATGCATGCTGTAGCTCACGAAAGCTTATGCTCAAATAAATTTGTTAGTCTCTAAGGTGCCACAAGTACTCCTTTTCTTTATGAGAGGAAAGTAGCTCATCAGCTTCTTCCTTCCTTTTCACGCATGGATTCATTGATCCATTTGCACCATTCCGAATGCTTCCCTGTAGGTAGGTTATGCTTTTGTGCCACTTTGTACGAGTTACGCTCCTCAGATATTGGGCCTAATTAAAACTGCATTTCCTGATCAAAAGTGAATGAAAGAAGGGCTCAGACATAGCAAACAAACGCATTTTCCCCAAGAGCCTGAGCTGTACTGCAGGCAGACTGGGGTCTGTCTTATGGGCACACAGCTCCCTGCCCATGGTGAGATAGTTAAGTGCTGCAAGAGCCTTAAGACCACTCACTTGACTCTTCTATCTTACTCAGAGGAGGATCAGAAAAGCAGAGCTATACGAACAATAGCAATAAGCCCACCATAACTGTAAGTGGCTAAGATGTAGTCCCCATTCTGCAGATCACACAGTGAGTCTGTTGTTATGTAAACATGGGGCACACATAGGGAAACAGCTCAGGGACAGGTAGAACATGTGCAGAATCTCATCCCTATGCAGCTGCCTTATGGCCACTTGAGGCTCCTCAAGCATTCCTCAGCTGGAGATCTCAGTGCCAGAAGCTACAGCAAGCGCCCTAGGGGATCACTGACAGTGAGTTTGACTTTCAGCTGTTTTATTGTGTTTGTCGTAGGAGGACTTATGTACAGTGTTTTTTTCAAAATCCAGAAGCATATTTTCACTTTCCCCAGATGATGGTAAAAACAAGAGGAATCGTAGCACTGGGGATTCAAGCTCTGAGCAGGGCCTGTGGGATTAAAACCACAGCCTTGGTTTTGGTGGGCTTGTTTCCCTAAAACATCTCATGGGGATACTCCATTTGCACACATGTCATGCTTCTCAAATGAGCCAGCATTGCATTTATAGTTGAACAGCTGCAGGGATTTGCTGTGTCTGGAAGGGCTGGGCCTCCACCATACAAACACATGACACCTGTTCCAGGCCTGTCAACCTTCAGCTCTGTGTAAGGCTCCCAATGGCCGTTGTACGTGTCACTCAACCAGCTACAAAATAATCCGCTCCCTGCGAAGTGGTTACTGAACGTTCTGAGTGTATCGTAGCAGTAGGCTCGGTGTGGTTGTCAGAGATGCGCAGCAAGGACGTGTCAAATGCGGAGAGATTGGCTCATTTCTTTCTTTATTTTTATTTCCTCAGATGACTCCGCCTCCACCAGTTTCTTATAAATCTGACAAACGTTGCTGGGCTTAGACTGTGGTGCGATCCGTGACATCGTCAGAGATCCAAGATGGTGGAATTTAATTGGCGGGTGAGGAGACTTTTGTTGTTAAAGCCTGGGGTGGGGATGTTAAAGAGGAGCGTGTTAAGCTAGAGCTGGGGATGTTGTGTTGGAGTGTGTGTCTTTGTTTGGCGTAAGCACCATGTTCAGGTTTAAGGGGATTAACTGCAGCTCTCTCCCCATGGAATCTGGAGACTTAATAATATATATCCTACCATATATATTCAGTGCCTTGCAAGTTGACTTTGCTGTGTGCCTATGAGTGAGGACTTTGCTGTGGGCCTCAGAGTACTATAGGCAGATGCTGTCTTGCTTCTCCATACACACACTCCACATGGCATTTGGCTCTGCTTATCTTCCTTTCTGTCTAGTCCCCTTTCAAGGTAGCGCAGTTGCTGTGTTGTCTATACCATTCATCCCCATGTTACTGTTTGGTATCCCTGGTACAGATGTACCACTTAGTCAGCAGCACACCAGACACAATGACTTTCTTGAGTTGGGGAAGGTTTTAATTAAATGCACGAGCAGCTTCTTGGTATTTTGGTCCTGTCTGGATGGGAAGTAAGAGATCTCCTGAGGTTATAGCTAACTGGCATTTGGGGCATATGAGAATACTGGCTTTGCTAGTACACCTAGAGATATGCATAAGGGCATCCTAACCCCCCTTAGCAGGTGTACAGTGCTCTGCTCTTTCAGGAATAATGAGCTGCCAGAGAGTTGTCATTTACTTTATTCTATTCTTATCTTCATTTGAGTAACATGGGGCGGGGGAAAGCAGCTCCAATAAATCTTATAGTTTTATTTGGCTTGGAGACTCCTCATCGACATAACTCACCAGCAACCACACAACAGAACCACTAACCCAGGAACCTATTCTTGCAACAAAGCCCGTTGCCAACTGTGTCCACATATCTATTCAGGGGACACCATCATAGGGCCTAATCACATCAGCCACACTATCAGAGGCTCGTTCACTTGCACATCTACCAATGTGATATATGCCATCATGTGCCAGGAATGCCCCTCTGCCATGTATATTGGCCAAACCGGACAGTCTCTACATAAAAGAATAAATGGTCACAAATCAGATGTCAAGAATTATAACATTCAAAAACCAGTCGGAGAACACTTCAATCTCTTTGGTCACTCAATTAAAAGACCTAAAAGTGGCAATTCTTCAACAAAAAAACTTCAAAAACAGACTCCAACGAGAGACTGCTGAATTGGAATTAATTATGCAAACTGGATACAATTAACTTAGGCTTGAATAAAGACTGGGAGTGGATGGGTCATTACACAAAGTAAAACTATCTCCCCATGTTTATCCTCCCGCCCCCGACTGTTCCTCAGATGTTCTTGTCAACTGCTGGAAATGGCCCACCTTGATTATCACGACAAAACGTTCCCCCCCACACACCCCCCACTCTCCTGCTGGTAATAGCTCACCTTACCTGATCACTCATACTCAAATAAATTTGTTAGTCTCTAAGATGCCACAAGTACTCCTTTTCTTTTTGCGAATACAGACTAACACGGCTGCTACTCTGAAACTCTCGTTACAGGGTGTATGGTAAAACCCATTGTTTCATGTTCTGTGTGTATATAAATCTCCCCACTGTATTTTCCACTGAATGCATCCGATGAAGTGAGCTGTAGCTCACAAAAGCTTATGCTCAAATAAATTGGTTAGTCTCCAAGGTGCCACAAGTCCTCCTTTTCTTTTATTTGTAAAGCTGTAACTTATCCTCTTTTAAATTCCTCCTTAAAACCTACCCCTGCTGTGATGCCTACCAGTCACTCCTGATTAGCATTGGCTAGGTAATAGGTCAGCTGGGACTTAAATTTTTCCACTCAGTTCTGTTTGCTTGCCCCATATTCCCATCCACCTCCCATCTTTATAATGTGGAAAAGTTTGTGTAGCATCACGAACCCCAAGCATTCAAAATCATGAGTCAGGCCACAAAACCGCCCCCATGAGATTTAGTATATAAATAAATGTGGGGTCTTATTTGCTTTCCGGCTTTTGAGCTTTTAGGGGGTCACTTTTTCAAGCTGTCTTCTGCAGCCGTGACAGCTAGAACGTTCTAAATGACAGCTGAGACCTGATTCCAGGAGCTGGCGCTTTAAGTAAAACACCAGCTAGTGCGAGCCTCATGATAAAATTGTGGGAATTGGTAACGCTAAGTCATATGGATGAATATTAACAAAAATTAGGCCTCAGAAGTGCAAATATGTGCTTAAAGCTGAGCATATGCGTAACCTTTGCAGGATCTTGGCCTTGGTTTGTTTTCCTCTGAAGAATTTAATATTGGTCAATATCAGAGACATTAGCAAATATCTTCTATCCTGAATTGAGCAGAGATCCTCCCACCCACCTATGCCCTGCTTACATTAGAAAAACTACCCATTTACTGAGAACGTGGGTAATTTTAATAATTTTATTACAATAATGTTAAAATAAAAGAAATGGTACAGAGTTTAAGCGAAGAAGTTTCTGGTTATCTGCGAATAAGGTATAGATTACTAAAGGGTGCGGAACATAGTTTCCCTTTGTCTGCACTTGCAATTAAGTTCAGCACGCATAGCTAACAACCGTTCTCGGCTTTTTCAGTGTAGGCAGGACCCCAGCGAACCCTTCACACCACACTGTAATGGATATTTATCACCTGATTAACTTGTGAGGGTGACTAGAGCTTGGTTAAGAATAAATAACAAATAGTTTACTGACAGGTTTCAGAGTAGCAGCCGTGTTAGTCTGTATTTGCAAAAAGAAAAGGAGTACTTGTGGCACCTTAGAGACGAACAAATTTATTAGAGTATAAGCTTTCGTGAGCTACAGCTCACTTCATCAGTTTATTCTGGAAGTTTTTCTGTGTGCAAATTGTCTGCAAACAGATCTGTTTTCTCAGATTCAGCCATTACTCAGAATGATTGGCCAGATAGCTTTTGTGACTGATGTGTGGCCTGAAGCTTATTCACAAGCAGCACATTGTGAAATATTCATTATGAAATGTCTGAGCTCTTTTAGCTGGACACAGAGGTCACTGCAACCTGGGGAAGCAACTCAACACAAAAATTGGGGATGAGCCAATTGGATTTTTTTTTCCTATGCAGAACTCTGTATTTTACTCACACAAAAGCAGTTAACCAAAAAAAAATCTGTATGGAACACAGGGATTCCACAGATCAGCATTTATTACCCATCCCTGGGCGACAAAAACAGCCTTATCCCAGGGAACCTACAACTTCCTGTTTCTGGATCAGCTGCTTTTATGGCCTCTCCCTGGAGCTCTGTGTGGGCCAGAGATGGAATGAATTCGGGTTATCTGGTCTCTGCACCCAGTCACATGGTGTATTTCTGTGCCCTGAATGGATGACATGCTTTTTTTCAATATGCAGCACTCCCTTTTTGGACTTTGACGTCTGCACAGATATTCACAAAAACCAGTGTCATTCCTCCCTCCCTCCTTCCCCTCCCCTCCCCCTTGAGAGAAAGGAATACACATCTCCTTGTGTCTGTCTCAACAGATCACCTTTATAGATCGATGCTACACAGAGCCTGGCAGCCACTGCTACATGCCTTCAAGATCATGGCTTTGAGGGAACAAGAGCCAATTACAGCCCTCGCAAACCCCCAGTATTAGTGGGGTCTGGTCACCATCCAAGACTGTGTCTTTATTTCAGAGGAAGATGGTGTCTGTGATTTATCAGTCATTGGCTTACAGCTCCTAAGCTACAATTCTTGACTCAGCTCCGGCTCTTTTTGGTCTCATACATGAATACCTTGTGCAATTCCTTGATTTGTTTCTATCCTGCAACTGCAACAAACCAGTACATAAAGATCTTGGTCTAGAGCCAGTATTACCATTGCCTGATGAGCTCATCTTTGATATTATTCTGTAGCTACCTGATATCAGGTCCAGGTAAGGTGGTCATCAGCATGGCTAGCAGGCTGCCATGTAAGAGGCTGTAAGAGGAGCACATTTGGGCTGTTGTGTAACTCAAGCAATGCGGTGCCAGGAGGAGTTTTGATATTTAACGGTTCTAGAGTTATCATCCATCGTAATCCCCCTTTTCCGGCTGATGATTCTTCAGAAACCTGGGGTGAATTCCTAACTCCATTGAAGTCAATGGCAAAACTGAGTACATAAACTTCTAGGAAGGCCAAAAATCTTCAGCAGTGCCCAGGAAAGCAACTTTGATAATGCCTAATGTCTGAGACTAGTGTAGGAATCAGGTGAATCCTCACAGTTACCACTCAGAGTTTGCTTTCTGCAAATCTCTTGCAACATTCACTTAAAATTTGCCCTTTAAGCAAACCATCTTGCCAGTAAACTAATTCACAGAAGAGCAAACCTAGAAGGAGGGTGTGAATACGGGCAAAGCGAATTCATTTATGAATTGAGGGAAATATTTTTCAGTCTGAACCTGAACTCTGATCCAGATGGCCGGAGATTTCCCATGGGAAGAATGCCTGCACTGCATTGCCATACATGGGAAGAATGCCTGCACTGCATTGCCATAGCATGAACAAAGTCCTGAATAATACAACTTCCATAGGGAAGGTCTATAGTATGCCATAGATGTGCTTTAAATGTCACAGTTGCTCAAGTGTTGTAGAAACTCTGCTGAAATATATTGTTTTCTATTTCAGGCTTTGGAGAATTTTCCACTGCTGATGTACATTTTGGCAGCTAAAACATTAATTCTTTGCTTGGCATTTGCTGGAGCAAAAATATACCAGAGTAAAAAACTTGAACAAAAAATGAAAAAAGAACATGAGGCAAAGCTGAAAAAGGAAGCAGAGAAGAAGGAAGATTGAAGAATCTTACAAGGTATAGAATTACTGGCTCAACTGGTGTGTGATAACAGCAGGAGGGCAGTATACTGTTATAGCTCATTATGATGTTTTGGTTCTGATCTAGCTGGATTCAAGTGTTATCTTGCTCATCACCACTTATCCTGTAGTCAAACAAAAATATTTCCTGTGTTACTTCAGCACATGCATGTACGCTAAGTGGTTCAATCCTCTACCACTGACACAATGATCTCCAGAAAAGTCACATTGTTGTGCATGACCTTTAAGAGATCTTTGTACGAGATTCTCTTTCTGCTCTGTATCTACCTAAGCTTTTAGACCATGCTCAGCACCTATGGGATCTGAGCACCAGAAGACAAGTTTAAATTGGGCTCAACACAGGGGTAACTGGATGAGCTAATGGTCCCGTCTGACCTTTTAAAAAAAATCTAAGACTTTAAAGAAAACTCAAATCTCTCACATAGTTTAAGTATGTTACAGGATGAAAGTGCTTTAGCTGGAAGAGCAAAACCATGTCGCAAGGAGTTCTCCAAGGTGGATATATCATGCAAGTTTCACTGTACAACAGGCTATGCACTTTACTGGTATAAATGGGCCCCATTTTGGGAGCTGTGAGCAGTGCTCGGTGCTTAAAGGTCTTGCATACCCTTGCCTCTGACTGGCTTGAGAGAGAGCTGAGCACGCTCAGCAACTGATAGTGCCCATAGCATGGAGAAGTATAGTCGTGCCAGTATAATGTACACCATCTGGGATGTGGTACCAAGAAGAGTGTCTTCTGCTCTAATCACTAGACTGCAGGGGGGATCAAGAGACAGGGGTGCTATTCTCTGCTCTGCCACTTGTTCGCTATGTGACTTTGGACAAGTCACTGTCTTGCTCTGTGCCTTAGTTTCTGTATCAGTAAAATGGGGATAATATGACTTCCATAGTGCTTTACTTCTTTACATTTACAAAGTGTTGTTATTAGCAGAACTCCTGTTGCATTTTTTAAATTAAGGTTCACCCCATGTAAGAAATCAATTTCAATTTTTAAAAGTGTTAGCAATTTGGGCCCAAGTCCTGTCACCATTATTCTTCTTCCAAAACTCCTTCTTGGGTGAATGGGAGTTATGCATAAAAGTTGGTGGCAGAATATGACCCTAAGAATAAGTTGTGAGAATGCAGTGGTTGTCTATATGCCAAGTTGCTTCACCACTTTAGGTGAAGCTTCAGCTGTGATTTTAAACTGACTTAGTTAACTGGTGCACAAGGTTCCATAGACACTCCTATTTCAGTTTAAACCAGACTTATTGCAGTTTGGCCCAAGCTGATTAGGAACAGGTTTAAGGCAAATGGAAATACATTCTATTCTTAAACCGAAATAAGAATTTCCGCACAGGAGTTTGCAATGATTTAACTAAACCTGTTCAACTAAACTGGTGCAAGCTGTAGACAAGGCCTAAGGAAAACAGCAAAGGGCAGATAGAAAAGTTTCCATGAGACACATTCATTCAGTATGATTCTGCATGTGAATCTAAACACCAAAATGGCAGCTGTCACTGTAGCAGACAGGGAGACTCCCTGTGTTCCAAATATCCAGGCAACAGCATGGCAGCATCACGCCATGCACCACAGGGAGGATCATTGTTAGCTGAGACAGGAAGATACAGAGGAAAATGTTTTGAATTTCTTCCGTGTATCGTCCTTTGATTTGGCGTCTGGGAAGCACTAATTTATGAACTAGAAAGATAGGGAAGAACTATTCTCTTTCTCTATCATGTTTCAGTGACTGTTTTATTAAAATTCTACTAGGCTAGGGATAAGGTTTCAAAAATAAATATCCAGGGCTGGTGTATATGGGGGAGGAGAAGTGTTCAGGAGTCCTCTCCCACCATTCAAGCCACTGGGACACAGCACTAGGGAGGTGTGGGAAAGTCTGGCTGTCACTGTGGCCTGAATTTGCAAGGAACATGGTTTCCTGCCTAAGGGCTATACCCTGACCCTCCATTAGCTAGTGTTCAGACTATGGTCAGTAGCACTCCGCTACTTTTACAACAGCAGCAAAACCTACCCTGCCTGTGTGCCGTCGCTGGCCCGCCCAGTAGAATTCGGGCCAGAAGCATTCTTGGCACAAAAGTTATACCTGCCAGTGTTGGAGATTTTCCCTCCAAAATGCATAATTTGGTCCTGATACGTTTTCTCATTTATATTGCCTGTCATCTTAGACTGTGAACACTGGAGCAGGGAGCAGGTCCTCCACTTGGCACTGTACAGCAGTGAGAATGTTTTGCATGTTTAACAAGTAATAAAAATTCTGCTGGAGAGAGAGGCTAAACCAAAGTAGTTGCATCCCTCCTCCTGCCTGGCGTCCGGTTTCATGTGGAGCCCTTCCCTGATGTTACCCTCTGAGAGAGCCATGCTGCCATGAAGCATGGGGAGGTCCAGGGAGTACTGAGAAGATGGGCCTCCACAAGAATACCTTGGCTATCCAAAGATGGCCCCAAATCCTCAGGATCTCCTCACAGCTATTGGGACACTCATGAACTGGAGGATCAATTTCTTCTATGTTTACATGGGGAATGGTGGCAGCGGAAGGAACCCTCCAACCCAAAGGATGTTCTAACACAAGAACATCAGAATGGCCATACTAGGTCAGACCAATGGTCCCTCTAGCCCAGTATCCTGTCTTCTGACAGTGGCTGGTGCCAGATGCTTCAGAGAACAGAAGAGGGTAGTAGTTACTGAGTGATCCATCCCGTTTTCTAGTGCCAGCTTCTGGCAGTCAGAGGCTTAGGGATACTCAGAGCATGGGGTTGCGTCCCTGACCATCTTGGCTAATGGCCATTGATGGACCTATCCTCCATGAACTGATCTTAATTCTTTTTTTGAACGTAGTTATCCTTTTAGCCTTCACAACCTCCCCTGGCAATGAGTTCCACAGGTTGACAGTGTGTTGTGTGAAAAGTACTTCCAAATGTTAGTGTTAAACTTGCTGTCTATTAATTTCATTGGGTGATGCCTGGTGCTTGTGTTACGTGAAGGGGTAAATAACACTTCCCTATTCACTTTCTCCACACCGCTTTGTGCAATCCACATAGTGTTACGGCTGCAGAGCTTTGTGTTTGGCCATGGCTTTCCACATGGGAAAGCTGATTTAGAACAGTGGTTCTCAACCTATTTGGGCTCAGCACGCATTTGTAAATGTTTATGGCCTGTCACAACCCAGTAAATACTCTGAGGGTGGAGGGTCTGGGGCAGAGCTGTAACTAGGCATTTTAGTGCCCAGGGCAAGCAAGCATATTTACGCCCCCTACCAGAGGTGACGTGTTGGGAGGTCACGTGCCTCCCCAGATATTTGGTTCCCCCCCACCCCGCCCCAACCCAGACAGCCTGGTGGTCTGTTGAGGTTCATTGGGGGTGGATTTGGTGTGCCATCCCTGAGCCCTGCTGCGTGGGGTTGACCCCACCGAGCACCACCTGGCATTACTGGCCTAAGCCAGCCCTGGGCAGCTGCCCCTCTTGCCCTGCCCTGGTTCTGACCCTGCCCTGAGGTGGTTTCAGGTGGATCCTGCCTGGCACTCATCCCATAGTGGCAGCTTCTGTGCTGTGGGGCTGACTGGGCTTGGCTCTTGCGTCTGGGCGTTGCAAACTCCGGAGTTGTAGCACCACTCAGGTTTGGCCCCGCTCCCCTGACTGGACCAACTTTTGTGTGAGTGGAGTTGTGACCTGGCTCATGGATTGCAGTGCCACTCACTCAAATTTGGCCTACCCAGACTCCCCTCGTCACGACAGTTGGGCCAAACCTGTGTGGCGCTGGGACCCCAGAGGCTGCAGTGCCTGGAACAAGGAGGCGAGCCCAGCCAGCCCTGTGGGACAGGAGCCACAGGAGCTGCCATGTGACCCTTTGAAACATTCTCGCGACCCAATTTTGGGGCCCAACCCACAGGTTGAGAAACCCTGATTTAGACCATATGTTGTAAGCATAGCACATTTGCTGTTCTCACTAATTTTATCATTGTTTTTTCTCTGCAGATTTCCTGACATTTCCTGCTCATGTGGATACCTTTCCCGGGAGGGTGAAGACTTCCCTTAGATGGAATGATGTGTCAAAGAAATAAACCGTCCCCGAGCAGCATTCATTTAAACTGCATATTGACTTTTTATACATGTAATAAGAATACCCATCCTCTATTTATTCAATAAAGGTTCCACAGTAGGAACGGGCTGGCTCTCTGCTTACCAGAAATGCTGCACCTAAGGCAGGTGCTGTAAAAGAGGCTGTTCTTAAAATCAGCTGTGGAGTGCAGAAAGACAATCACTTCTAACTAGGAAATCCATCACAGGTGCCTCAAGCTGGTGGAGATAGCAGGAGGCAGATAATAGAAAGCCCCAGACTCTCCTTGCTCCTTTCTCAAGGCAACCAGCACCAGCTGCAGAGGAGAGCCTAGGGCATGCCTAGTCCCGCCCCTGGACCCAGAATAACCAATCCAGGGTGTAGGCTGTTAGGGACAATATCCGTGTGTCTTCCTAGATCTACCCTACATGCAGCGCCTAGTGCACACAGTGCTGTACTGTAGTAATAATAATAATAGCACAAATCAAACCAGAACTATTAAAACTTGGCAGTTTCTGCTCTTCTGAGGAGTTGGAGGTCTCTCTTGCATTATTTTGCTACGCAGAGAACACTTAGAGATGCCAATAGTTACAGCTGCCTCAGTATTTCCATTATAAAGAGTCATTTGTCAGTGGCTTATAACTTCTCAAAGTTTCACCTTTGTGTCTGATATTTGAGGGAAAAATCAGGCCTGTGGCTCTGAGGTCACGTTTCGGGCCTCTGTGTAGTGTAAGAGGTGACCAAACAGTGGCTCACTGCCACCCTCTTTCTGCGACTGCAGAATTGTGGTACCTGGTGAAATCAAACAAGCAATTCTAGCTTTTGGAGACTGTGTAGAAATTGTGGGCATTGATTTGTTAACTGCTCATGTAACAGGTGCAGCTCTGGGGCAAGATACCTGGTGGGTTTCAGTAGCACAAAATTACATCGTCTACTATTAACTGTGATGACTTTTTATAAAAACTTAGCAGTCTAGCTAGCTACTTCAGTAATAGTCTCTGACAATCCATGTTTTGTAAAACTTATACATCTACTAGGGACAGAAACTGAGAAGGTGTGGAAAGGTGAAAGCATCTGTGGTGGTACAGAACTCCTGCGTCTTGCACCGTGAGTCTCCAATAGTTTTCAGCTGACAAGCCTGTCCATGGAATATTTAGGTACTGCCTGGGGCCATCATGTGGCAACCACAGTGAATTGCAACAGCTTCCATGTCTGCCTCTGGATCATGTGCATGTATGAACATGGAGTGCAGTCTCCTTTAATGACTCCACAGCATTCAGTTCCATTCTGCTACACTGTCGGGGGGAAAAGCACACACACAAATGATATTTAATCGAACTGTAAGGCCCAACCCTTCAGAGAAAGCACATGGAAGTCCACTGGCTTTGAGAAGATGTCATGCTTTGTCAGCTAATGACTGAATGTATCAGAGCTGATATGCCAACATATCTGGGCCATATCTTCATGATCTTCCCTGATTTTTAGAGTCCTGTAGCTAAAATGACCCCCACTCTAGGAAGTGGCATACATGGGTGCAGTCCAAGAGCAGATTTTTAAACACGCTTAGGATAGCAATCATTTGACTGTGTTGGAGTGTGGGTCTCTACCCTGAACCATGATTATGTAACAAAATGGCACCTCCTCCCTCAAAACAGTTGCCCCCCCCTGCAGAGTCAGCAAAATATGGGCCTACTTTAGAAAAAAAAAAGGGGGGGGGAGAAAACTTGCTTAGTGCACAAAGCAACTGAGGCTGGCATTAGAATTTGTGGGGCCCCAACCTATCAATGGTCACCTGTGCAAATTGGTGAGGATTTTTACAGGTGACCACAGACCCAATTCCTTGGATCTTAGAACAATGAAAAAGCATTCAGTTTTCTTACAAGAAGACTTTTAATAGAAGTAAAAAAGAATCACCTCTGTAAAATCAGGATGGTAAATACCTTACAGGGTAATTAGATTCAAAACATAGAGAATCCCTCTAGGCAAAACCTTAAATTACAAAAATGACACACAGACAGGAATATTCATTCTATTCAGCACAGCTATTTTCTCAGCCATTTAAAGAAATTATAATCTAACATATACCTAGCTAGATTACTTACTAAGTTCTAAGATAGGTTTCAGAGTAACAGCCGTGTTAGTCTGTATTCGCAAAAAGAAAAGGAGTACTTGTGGCACCTTAGAGACTAACCAATTTATTTGAGCATAAGCTTTCGTGAGCTACAGCTCACTTCATCTGAAGTGAGCTGTAGCTCACGAAAGCTTATGCTCAAATAAATTGGTTAGTCTCTAAGGTGCCACAAGTACTCCTTTTCTTTTTAAGTTCTAAGACTCCATTCCTGTTCTGTCCCCGGCAAAAGCATCACACAGACAGACACAGACCCTTTGTTTTTCTCCCTCCTCCCAGCTTTTGAAAGTATCTTGTCTCCTCATTGGTCATTTTGGTCAGGTGCCAGCGAGGTTACCTTTGGCTTCTTAACCCTTTACAGGTGAGAGGATTTTTCCTCTGGCCAGGAGGGATTTTAAAGAGGTTTACCCTTTCCTTTATATTTATGACAACCTCCTACAAAAAATCTAGTGCTGTCCTATTGCTGGAGAAAACTGGAAATGTATTTCTATTTCTTATGTTTGCATGTAGTTTACATCACTCTCACTTGTTCTTAACATAAAAGAGCTTAAACCCAGGCAGACTATCCAGGAGCTAGATTCTAATGCCCAAAAGTAAGTGTGAAAAACAAAATGGGCTTAAAATTAATAGGTAAAAATGTGAGCCACTCCCCTTTCTCCCAATTCTGCCCTAATGCCCTACTAAACTTCCATGCATGAAGTACTTGGGCATATTGTTAAACAAAGGGCTAGGAAATTTGGTATTGATCTAGTCATTGCATGCCTGCTCCATGAACTGGAGCAAATAAAGTTTTCATTGAGAGGCTGCTCCTTGAAAAAGTGTTTCCACTTCAGAACCAATTAGCCAGTGAGATAGTATGTAATTTCAAGCTATTTGCATTCCTGCTTGCCTTGGGCACCTGCTATGGCTCTTTCATTAATATTAGAATTCGCATCCGCCTCTCATCTGACCTCTAACCTTTATTCAGAGTTACTTGAATTACTTTATCCTACTTGTGCAGTTTAATCGAGCAAATAGAGATGGGGACAGGAATTAAGATATATGCTTTGATAATAGGTAATGATCAAATGTATTGGACTATACAGTACTACAAGGGCTGGTACTAGTGAGACTATACGGAAATCACAGCAACTTAAAACCATACAAAGAATGTATTCATCCATGCTAGTTTAAATGCCCTCTGCTGGGAATTGGGTGCATGTTATTTGTTAATATCCTATTATTAAAAACGGTTAGTCATAGAAAATGCTTGTCATTCTAAATTACCAGCCCAGTCAGAACTATATTATTATGTATTATTTTTATTACTGTACTGCCTAGGGAGCTCTAGTCATGGACCAGGACCCCATTGTGCTAGGTGCTGTCCCAAAGAGCTATATTAGCTATGTGGTTTTTCATCATCTTAAAGGATTGCAACATCCTGTAGAGAATAGGTTGCAATTTCCCTCAGTTGTGCAAAAGAACTTAAGGTGGATGTGACAGGTTGGGTCACAGAGATCCCCTTGGGACTGTCACCTGATGTGCTGAAACTACCTCTTAGCCCGTTTTCTCTGATGGCCTCGGACTCCAGAACCCTGTCTTGTTGAGCCAGACACACTAGCCTGCTGCAACACAGACCCAGGGTCTGACCCACACCCCCAAAGCTGCAGACTTAACTGAAAACAGCTCAGCAAGCACTCCTGTCTCCAGCACCCAGACACTCCCAATGGGATCCTAACCCCAAATAAATCTGTTTTACTCTGTATAAAGCTTATACAGGGTAAACTCATAAATTGTCTGCTCTCTATAACACTGATAGAGAGATATGCACAGCTGTTTGCTCCCCCAGGTATTAATCTCTTACTCTGGGTTCATTAATAAACAAAAGTGATTTTATTAAGTATAAAAAGTAGGATTTAAGTGGTTTCAAGTAATAAAGGCAGAACAAAGTAAGTCACCAAGCAAAATAAAGCAAAAACACGCAAGTCTAAGCCTAATACATTAAGAAACTGAATACAGGTAAATCTTACCCTCAGAGATGTTCCAATAAGCTTCTTTCACAGACTAGACTCCTTCCCAATCCTTTCCCCGGTACAGTTCTTGTTAGTTCCAGCTCAGGTGGTAAGTAGGGGTTTTCTCATGTCTGCAGCCCCCTTTGTTCTGTTCCACCCCCTTTTATAGCTTTGGCACAAGGTGTGAATCTTTTGTCTCTCTGGATCCCCACCCCTCCTTCTAAATGGAAAAGCACCAGGTTTAAGATGGATTCCAGTTCAGGTGACATGATCACATGTCTCTGTAAGACCTTATTCTTCATTACCCACACGTCCACAGGAAGGCTTGCAGGTAAATAAACCATCTACAACCAATTGTCCTAGTCAATGGGAGCCATCAAGATTCTAAACCACGATTAATGGCCCACACTTTGCATCATTACAGTAGGACCCCTACTGTATATTTGAATGTACAGTATTTGAATTCTACTGTATGTAGAATATTTCATATTCCTAGTTTCAGATACAAGAATGATACATTCATACAAATAGGATGAACACACTCAGTAGATTATAAGCTTTGTAATGATACCTTACAAGAGACCTTTTGCATGAAGCATATTCCAGTTATATTATGTTCACACTCATTAGCATATTTCTATAAAACATATGGGGTGCAGTGTCACAATGGATAAGCTCCTGCCTGTGTTAAACTTTTAAAAGTTACTGTGTTACTATGACACAAATCGCTTGAGTAGGAAGGTCTTATTTCTGAGACTGATGACAATAATGAAGAATCTCATGCGATAGGGGAAGTTTCTCTCTTGCTTATAAAGGGCCTTTACTCACACTGAGTAGTGCCTGACTCTGCAGCTAGTCCCATTGACTTCAGGGGGGACGGCTCAATGTGAGTAAAAGGTGTCTTAATCTGTCCATAAAGAAAAACACAACTATGCAAAGGGGAGGCACATAAGCTCAGTAGGGAGTTGCTGTGTTGGTGAAGCAATCCAGCACTTTGTTTTGTTCTTGTGTTTGGTTCAGATTCTGATCTTATTTCTGCCATAGTAAATCCAGAGTAATGCAATGGATTTATTCTGGATTTACCCTGGGCTAACCCAGATCAGATAGTTTTATTCTTGTGTATAGTGTAGTATTATTGTTTAAAGGTCAAGAAAGACATTCCAAAAATGTGCTGTATATCATCCAGTTTGTTAATGAAATAATGAATACTGTGCTGGCTATGCAATTATTGTCCTTCATCACTCAAAAGACACACTGGGTCAGATTCTCTTCTCAGGGTGTTTTCACCCCAACTTAACTCCACTGACTTGAGACGAACTACTTCTCATTCACACCAGTGCAAAATCAGAATCAGGCCCATGGTATTGGAACAATAAAAGCTTTTCCTCTCCTACCTTTTCTACTCCTTCAGTAACATATACTCATACTTGGGCCATTCCCATTTACAGCATTTAGCCTGTCACTGTCACTTCCCCTTCCACCCTCCCACCTCTAAAAAGAGCAGCAGTTTATAGTAATTGAACACAAAGCTGAGAAAAGACACACTTTGAAGCATATATTCACAGGTTACTAGAAAATATACTGTAGGGAAATGATACTGCTCTGACTCCACCCTCATCCCCCAGGGAATGGACTAGATTTCCTAATTAACTAATTTACTTTTCCACCTCTAATTTCTATAATATATTATGTAGTTTCCACACATGGAAAAAGTACTTTGGATTTTCAGTGCATCAATCAAGCCATTAGAATAAAAATGGCAAGCATCATGAGATCCAAATGTTTTCTTTAAGTTGTGAAGTTTTGTCATTTTCTGTGTAAGAGGCACATGGGAGAAGTATACAAAATAGTGAATAGTGTAAAGAGGGCAAATCATGCACACTTATTTATAACAACAAGGGAACATTCAGTGAAATGGAAAAGGCAACACCAGTTAATTTTGATATGAAGAAATACTCCTTTAAACAAGTCGTACTTAACCCATGCAACTCATTGCCACAAGATATTGAGTCTGAGAGCTTAGTAGGATTCAAAAAAGGATTAATCATTTAAATGGATAAGAAAAGCACATAGTTACATTAGGTTGAGTGCAATATTTTATCTGAAGGGATATAAACCAATTACTGATTGACAGGGTTAGAAACAAACTTTCCTCCTTGGCAGGTTATTGCATAATTTACCTCTATGGGGTTTCTTGTATCTTCCTCTGAAACATCTGGTGCTGCCCAATATCAGATAACGAGTCTGAAGTGGTATGCCAATACCTATGTTTTATGTTAAAGACAATAGTAACTTGAATTCCTCTGGCTTGTTTTCCCTGTTAAGCATAAAAGACAATGGCATCTATGATTTCCACCTCAGATGTACTTTACTCCTTAGTAGATCTCCCAAGTGGGTCAGAGATGGGCCTGAGCTGCAAAATTCATATACTGATCAGGATCCAACTCAAACTCTGGGGTTTGATTTGGTGAAGGAAAGAAGAAAGCCATAAAATTCAGACCCAAATCAGCATCTGAACTTGTCCCAAAAATCAAGCTGTTTGGATTCTGGGTTTTGGTTTGGGCCCATCTCTGTGATTAAGGGAATTAAGTCTATCCATCCCAACACTTATACACCATTTACCACCCTAGTCCTGGACCACATGAAGAGATTAAAATTCAGATTAACATGATGTTTGTTATTAAGATCATTGTTGATGTTTCTGTTTTAGGGTGGCCTCTAAGGAGGGAAGTGGCTCAGCAGAGCTGGTACACTGGCTAATTGGTCGTTTATTTTATTTATTTATTTTTAAATCAAAGAGCATTTGATGTTTGCAGGAGGAAACCTTCAAGCAAATGTATCAAGGTAGTAATTCTCCCATCTCCGCACTTTGTTAGTCGCCACCTTCCATTTGCTTGGAGTCATCTTTTCTAGTCCTTTCTCAACCAAGTCACTGAAAAGTATACACCTGTAGGAGTAAGTTCTCTCAATGGACCTCAGACAAAATTCCTTTCTGTTGTTGATAATAAACCACTTCAAAGAAGACCACGCTACATCCATAGGGTGGAGATAGTTGTAGGGCAGAGGCACAGAGAGAAGCTCATGGCCATTGGCTTTAGCAATCTGAGGGCAGCACTCAATGCTGGACATGTAAATGACTGATGGGACCTGCGGGTGAGTTATCTTCTCCTGAGTGGTGGGTTCTTTTGTCTGCCTTTTCTCTCTCACTACGATGATGCATTTCCCATAGAACTTGTTCAGAGAATCGCAGAATTCCTGAAAGATGTCTTCATGCTGCTTCATGGGCAATTCATTTCTTAGCAATATTCTGTATCTCCAAGGCACCCAGCCTTGACTGCTTGCAGCATGAACGAGTGTCCATGTTGGCCAATTCAGGCTGTCTTCCTGCAGTATCTTTTCCCCTGTTATGAGAGATTCTGAAATATCAGTTTCTCCTAAGAAGATGGTGTTGAGACCATTAAACTGCAGAGTCCTCAGTGCTTTTAAATACTTCAGGCACTGCTTCCTCGCAGCAGTGTCAAAGGAACTCCTGTGGATGATGTGCTTTAAAAGAGGATTTACAAAGTGATACATGTTGCTTTCCCCGGGTTGCTCTGAAGTTCACAGAAGGTTCTGATGATACAGGGTAGGAAAGTGATGATCTCATAATGGCTTTCATTACACTGGTGTTATTCAGTAGCCTCATAACAGACAGTGCACGGCGTTAGTATTTTCAGCTGGCTGATCAAAATTCAGAGCGATCTCAGGAAATAATAGCTCTGTCGTGCTAATTAAACTACAGTTGTGCAGCAAGCTGTAAAGGACTTTGTCATCAGGATGTTTTTCAATCTGAAAATCATCCCCCTCGCCTCGCCTACCTCCCCGTGTTTATTAACATAACCTATCCCAGCTTAGTGTGGTATCTGCCTCCTGTCGTGGTAACTAGGCTACACAGAGGATGATGAGCCTGTTACAAACCTTGGCTAGGGTAGGTCTTTAGCTCAAGCCATACGGGCGGGTCTGGATTACAATCTAGAGGTCCAAGGTTTGATCTTCACTGTCAATGGTCAACCAGGGGGGTGGCGTTACAACAAGACAGTGATGGCTGAATTTGGAAAAGAGAAGGTTTTGGAAGGGGGTGTTAACGCAGCCACTGGTGGAACACACCTGCCAAAGTGGCAGTAAGAGTTCTCTGGCCTGCCCCCGATGCTGTTGGAAGGCAGGGCAAGTAGAAGACTGCTAGGAGTGGGATTAACCAGGGGGATTTAGATGCCTAACTGCCACTTTAGATGATACATCCAATATTTAGAAGCCACTGGCCTTCACAATCCCCCTGCTCAGCTGCCACCTAACCCTGTCAGTGCTTAAGGCTCTGTCTAAACCCAAAAAAGCAGCCCACAGCCATGAGTCTCAGAGCCAAGCTTAATTGACTTGGGCTCATGTTATGGAGCTAAAAATAGCCAGATAGATGCCCCGGCTTGGGCTGGAGCTTGGCTCTGAGACCCGGTGAGGGGGGAAGGTCTCAGAGACAAGGCTCCAGCCCGAACCTAAACGTCTACACAGCTAGCTTTATTCACATAGTGTGAGCCTGAGTCAACTGACCCAGGCCCTGAGACTCGCTGTCGAAGGTTTGGGTCTTTTTGCTGTATAGACGTATCCTAAGTTTCCACTATTAAAGTGCCTGTGGTGTCTAAATTTCAGTGGCTGGGCATGCACAAAGCTGCCTAAATCCTGACACTACCCAGCAGCGTGGTGCTAACTCATGCCTAAGCCCCAGAGATATTCACCAAGTAGGGATCCATCCTGCCAGCACCTAAGTCCTCCTTGTGAAACTAGCCTTGCTGTCACCCAAGGAAACAAGGCAAAGGGGGGAATGACGGGAGGGAGAAACTAAGGCTAGTTTGGGGATGGAAGTCATGTGGGGATGGCATGTTGATGGATCTCCTTCATCTTCCTCTCTCCTGAAGACTGGCGTGTATGTGGTTGGGGGAACGGGATGAAGAAAGTTTTTGCATGGGGGACTGAAAATGGGTGAGGTATATTTCAAGACTTAATTTCTTACCAACTTTCCCCCCACCTTTAGAGGTACACACAGGTTGTTTCTTCTATAAAAATCTGGAAGTGCTAACCTCAGGATTGCTCAACCCTTACCTGTATCTACTTGCCAGGCACTAAACTCTGGCAGATTATTAGTTTTCTAGGCTGGATTACACAATTAAATTCTCTGGCACAAACTCTTCAGTCTCTGAATATTGCGTACATGTCTCTGAACAGAGCATAGCCTACGACCCACAGGATCACTTCCGTAACATTCCTCTTCTTGCCACCTCAATTCCCCAGGTGGACATTTACTGCCTTTTTATCTGAACCAGCTAGTGAGAATTCTGTGAGTCCAAAATACATGTGAAGGGAGGGCAGGAATGCCATCTCCGGTGACTAATGCAGCTGACCCATTGCCCGAGTTTTGAAGCTGGCTCTGCTTGCTAAGGATAATGAGTGATCCTGCCATTCATTGTAGCCTTGTTACACAGAGAATGCAAGACTAGCAATTTGGAGATGCAGCCTGTCTGCAGCTCCCTCCGCTGAAAAATGATGGAAGGTGTAGATCATGCATACCTGGGAAAATGTTGGATGAACCTACAATACATATCCATCATATGGGAATGGATCACAAGTCAATACTTATGCATATTTATTAGCAGAGTGTAGGCTTTCAGTGTTAGGCCCCAATCTTACATAGACATACATGGGGTTAACTCTACACACTAATAGGGTTACCAGGTGTCTGTGTTGGATCATATTAAAGAAGTTCTGTATTAAAATCACAAATGAGTTTGATTCCCCATAGTTTAAATTCCAGGATATTATTAATTAAGAGGTCTCTTGGTTTTTGGTACTGTTTCTCTCCCTCTATGTGTGAAACTTGCAAGCTGCTAATTGTGTTAGTACATTCTAAGACAGAGTCTGTTCTCAAAGCAATTCACAGAGAGAGAGACTCAAAGCAATACTCTAACAACAGAAACAGCACCCAGAGACTCCCGCCCTTTTGTTGTATTAACAATTGTGATTAAAATAGAGATAGAGGATGTATGTGGATGGATGCTTGGTGTGGATAATAACTGAATGATCAGGGAGGTGCCAGCCTAAGAATCCAGTGTCCGTCGGCTGAAGAAGGCATCAAGTGGAAATAACCAGAGGACCCCCAGAGGGCAGACGGAATCCACCCAACAGCCTCAAGAATGGGAGAACCAAAGAACAAGATAACATCTAGCAGCACGGAGCCGTCAGGAATGTGCTATCTGCTGATTGATTCAGCAACAGCATGATGAAGCAATTCCCATAGACAGGCATAGGAAGAAATTCCTATAAAAATAGACTCTAAAAAGTGAGAACTTTGGGGTCTGATTCTGCAAACCAACTTCCAGGAGCATCAGATGAGCATCTGACAAGGCCCTGCTCCCTCCTCATGTCCAGGCCACCTGGCCAGTGGCTTGGCATGAGCAACTCTAAGGCTGGTAACTATGATAACAACCTTGCAGAACCTGTGTGTGTGTGTGTGTATGAATGAATGTGTGAATAAATATGAGATTGAATGGAATGTTATAGCTATAACTAACTGCTTACTATGATTCTTTCTGTATTCACAATAAATGTGGTATTTTGCCTTTTTCCCTTTAATAAGATCCTGCTGGTTTTTAATTTATTGGTATGACATCCAGTTTTCGACCAGAACACCCGGTCAAAAAGGGATCCTGGTGGCTCCGACCAGCACCGCTGACTGGGCCATTGCATGTCCAGTTGGTGGCACCGTTGCACCACACAGTGAGGCTGGCAGGCTCCCTGCTAGCTGCCCTGACACGTGGCTCCCAGGTCAGGAAGTAGCTGGCATGTCTGGCTCCTAGCCTTAGGGGCTGCCAAGGGGGTTTGCATGTTGCCCCGCCCCGCACTTGCAGGTGCAGATCCTGTTGGCTGGGTCAGGGCAGGGGAGGAACTAGCGTGAGCGTGACTCGCGAGTGCTCAGCAGGCGGCTGTTGAGAGGTCACGTGGGGCCCCCTGCTGCCCGGCCCTCTTCTCCTCGCCCTCCTCGTGTGGCTGGGCTCAAGCTGCGGCACATGCCCTGTGGCAAACCACGGTCTGCCTGTCACCCCATCACCGGCACCCAGGAGTTCGAGGTACAGGAACTCCTCACTTAAAGTCATCCCAGTTAACGTTGTTTCGTTGTTATGTTGCTGATCAATTAGGGAACATGCTCATTTAAAGTTGCCCAATGCTCCCTTCTAACGTTGTTTGGCAGCTGCCTGCTTTGTCCACTGCTTGCAGGAAGAGCAGCCTGTTGGAGCTAGCTGGTGGGGGCTTGGAACCAGGGTGGACCCGGCAGCCCCCCTAAGCTCCCTGTGCGGCAGCCATCCAGCAGGCTACCAATTGCTGGCAGTTCAGCTGTCCCTCCCCCCACTGCCATGTGCTGCTCCTGCCCTCTGCCTTGGAGCTGCTCCAGGGAGCCTCCTGCTTGCTATGCGGGGGGGAGGAGGGAAGAAGGGGGCTAGTTCCTCCCCTGCTCCTGCCTTCCACTCCTGTACCCCATCTCTATGGAGCAGGGGGCGGGGAGGGGGGACAACACGACAGGGCTCAGGACGGAGGGGGCTTGCTGGCAGCAGCTGTGGTCTCAGCTTGCTGATCTGCTTAAAAAGGCAATGTACTTAGAGTGGCATCAGCTTACTTAAAGGGGTAATGCACATCTCTCTTTCTCGCTCACACACACAGTGTGTGTCTCTCTGTCTGCCATGCTGTCTCCCCTCCCTCCATTCATGCTGCCTTGTAGAGTGTGAGGCTACATTAACAACAATGTGTTAACCCTTGAGGGCTCAGCCAAGTGCTAGTTCATCTTTTAGCAGTAAGGCATTCCCTGGGAAATATCCCACCTTCTGACTCCTCCACCTCAACCAAGCTTCACAATCATCATTGCTGTGTACAGTATTCAATTGTTTGTTTAAAACTTATACTCTATGTGTGTGTGTGTATATATATATATAGTCTTTTGTCTGGTGAAAAAAATTTCCCTGGAACCTAACCCCCACACCCCTTTACATTAATTCGTATGGAGAAATTGGATTCGCTTAACATCGTTTCACTTAAAGTCACATTTTTCAGGAACATAACTACAACGTTAAGTGAGGAGTTACTGTATATGTATCCCTGTCTCTGAATGCTGGGAATAGGGCTACACCCCCATCGCCCTGCATCCCTCCCCATCCCAGCCCCCTGTGCACCCATCCCCCTCACTGCATCCCTCCCTCGTCCCATCCTGTCCTGCCCCCCCCACCTACCCATCCCAGCCATGTACCCCTTACAGCACTCTCCCACCCATCCTCTCCACCTCCCAGAGCTGCCACCCCCATGTCCCTCAGCCCCCACAGCCCTGCACCCCATTCACCTCCATTCACTGCTGCGCTCCCGTTATGTCCCTATACACCCCTGTGCCCCCCATATCCTCATGCATCTGTAGCCTTCTGCCTCTCCCTGCATCCCCACCCACCCCAAATACCCCCCCCACTGCCCCCTCTCATCCCCACCTGCTGTCATCCTTGGCCTCTTTC